ATCATGCAAGATTTTTGTAACATTGTTAAATAAGGTAGAGGGCAATAAGGAATACTTCCTCCATTACAAAACTATTCAGACCCTACTTTTAGAGTATAATCGAAGCACATTTGGCATCTATAACAACCTCACATCTCATTGAAAAAGACAGAATGAGCATGGGACACATATTGGAAGGTCTTTTGATTCATCTCAGCAAATAGGATTCTTAAATTTAACTGGAATAGATGGTTAGTAACACACTCCATGCTTTCTGCTCTTTATCCAGGAAAATAGAACTCTTGTCCTGGACTAAAACTGTTGTTTTGGAGTTCATATATTTCAGGTATGAATTACAAAAATGTCTAAAATACTAGCAAGATAAGATATATAAAATTAGATCAAAACAACTTATTTTAGTAGTTCATATTCAGCTATGACAGCTATTTATAAGTTAAGGCTAAGGTTATCATATTTGCAAGATATCACACATGAAGGTTTATCTAGCAGCAGCAGAATGCAATTATACCATCTTAACAACTTTTTTTTTAAAGAAAAGACTTATTAGCAATGCAAATCAAAACATTCAGGGAACTTTGGAGCTGAATTTTATTGTCACATTACAACTTGTTCAATGTTGAAAACACAAATATCTTCAACAGACTGAATGCTGTTGAACTGCAACAGATGACTCATCGTTTTTTACCTTTGCCATTTAACTATAGTGCATTTGTTGTATCAGGTTATGTTTTATTTTTCAAAAAAGATAACCAACCCTTTAAATGTATAGCCAAGGCTAAACGTTTAAATGCTGTGGTATGGCCACAAAAACAAGGAGCATCCGAGGTCAGTGAGTGAAACAGAGCTGTAAATGAAAGGAGAGAAAGGAGGGGTGAATGACGCTTAAGAAGAAACAAGAGCTGTGAGTTCACACGCTACCTAGTCTGTGGTAATGGACTGTAAACCCTGGGATGTATTATAAGTACAAAAATAGTAGGTGGTGAGTAAAAAAAAAAAAAAATCTGTGAAACACGCATACAAAAAAATAACGTAGATATTGTTCAGTTTCAAATGTTTCCACATTTCTTCAGCAATATTAAGATTTTTACACAGGCCTCAAAAGGAAAAACAGCAAACATTTATTTTCATTAATCTATTAATTTAATTTGCTTATTTGTGTTCAAGTCACAAAGGTAGCAGGTCAAGCAGAAAAGCAAGGGCATTCCTTTTCCCAGGAACATTTAGTTCATCTGGGGGGGTCCCGAGGACATCCCAGGCCAAAGAGAGTATACAGTACTTTCCCAAAGAGAGTATACAATACTTTCCCAAAGAGAGTATATAATACTTTCAGCAAGTTATGGGTCTTCCCTGTGGTCCCCTCTGCTGGCTCTGTTTCAGCAGCTCTCTGACCTGAATACAAAGCTTTTTACCTTATGTCCAAGGCTGAATCCAGCCACTTAAAAATATGATGCATAATAAGGGCAGAATAAAATGTTCTAGTCAATGGCTAAAGAAGAAGAAATAACACATGAAACAAACCAGTGACAGCTGACAGTTACAAAGGTTTACAGTTCTTGTGTTGAACTTTGTGTGATGAACAAGCTGAAACTTCACAGGGGAAGATTCCTGTCAAGTGCTTAAAGATGCATGAGAGTGCTTCATCATTAACGAGATGATGGAAAGTTCCACAGCCGAGTTTGAGATAGAAGAAGCAAAGAGGATAACAGTCGAGACACGAAGACACTAAAAGCCAAAGTTAGACAGAAGGGTTGTCACATGAATGAATATGAATGACCCTCCTCTTTGTCTTGTGTCTGGCTTACATTACGCCCCTAGAATATTTCATAAACTGAGCGAGCAAATGAAGATTGTGTCATCAAAATCAGATGTGGAGAGTTTTACAAAAGCAGATCAACAGAATTCTGAATAGACATCTATTCTAAAAGTTGAACATGATAAAGCAGAATTTGCCCACCCCTCCTGAAGATCCACAACATCATCTGAAGCAACAAGCTTTGCTAAAATGCATGAATAGGAAGTCGAACATTCTGGAAAATAAAATGTCATTCTTGAAGAAGGTTTTTTCCAAACCAGTAAAAGTTAAAGGGGTAAAAAAGGGAGGGATACAATAATTTAATTTGCTCACTGGCAGGATATTCAGCCTCATCTGCTGGCTCGTAAAAAAACACCACAAATTATGTGGAAAAATAAGAAGTTTCTAAATATCTCTGCACAAATGGTTCTCTTGAATAATATAATTTGGAACAAAACTGTGTTTCACTGCACTCAGTCATGAAATTAAGACAAAAAGCTACTACTTCTGCACACGGTAAAATTACTGGTTGTACAGGCTTGATATGTGTTGTTTTAAAAGTTACCTTAAAACATAAGAACTTTCTTTAATTAATGTCAATGAACAAAAACCTTAATGACCTACTGACTGTTTTAATAAATATATTTTAACTGAAAGACTAATGGAATAGAGACTATTTGAAATTCATTGAAAAAGGTTGAGTAATTGTATAGATTTTAAGAAAAAATGACAAGCATGATAAGAAAATTCATCATTCCTCTAGCTTCTTTAGCTGCTTAGACCTGTTCACGTCTGCAGGAAGTTCTTGCTCATCTCTAGAAATCAGTGGATGAGAGGTGGGGGTACAACCTGGACAGGTCAGCAGTCCCAGAGGCTAACGAGCACAGAACCACTCACTCTCATCTGGGGCTAAATTACAGTCGCTAATAACATGCATGTTTTTGGACTGATGGAGGAAACTGGAGGAAACACGTGTATGCATGGGTACTTCTACACTTAATGCAACTGAAAAGCCTCTGCTGGGAGTCAGACCTGCAGTATTCTAGCTATGAGGCAACACTGACCATCCACCAACCCATGATCAAAAAATGCATGACTAATTTGCTAAATACAAGCAAAGCCGCATGTATTTGTCTGTTAGTGTTGAAAATATCACCAAAATCTTTTATACAACCTGGCCACATTAAACAAATATTAGAATCACGTTTTATGTATAGATGTACAGATAATTGTTGTACTGTCAGGAAAACTAATAATAATGTGCAAAATGATGGGCTGTTTTACAACTAAAAGGGTTCCTGTCATCTTCCCTTAAAGACATGTTGTCTACCAGCTGCCATCTACATTTAGATCACACTAGAAAAGACAAATGATTAAACTTTTTAAACTTAATTTGTGGCTTTGGATTTCTGGGGAAGATCACAAAGTTCTGTAGAGGATCTGAGATCACACACACACACACACACACACACACACACAGAAAGAGAGAGAGAGAGAGAGAGAGAGAGAGAGACTTAAGCCGACTCTTTCGTTAAAACGTGTTCAAAGTGAAACTTTAAAACATCTGCTTACATCTGCTGATTATGAGAACACCATTAATCTGAATTACCCTTTCACGATTCAGCAGATTTCCCATTTTATTCACAATCACTTTCTCTTATGAATAACCCCACACTTAGAGGCGACAGGCTTCAGAAACAACTGTTTATTAAAGTATTTTGTATTTACTTAATATTTTACAGCAAATTCCTGGCCAGATGTGAACTTGTACAAACGTGAGCAATTCAAAATGTTAGAGAATGTAGACCGATTAAGTTACCTTCTGAAATGAGAGCAGCTTCACTTGCAGGCGTTTGTGTCCCTCCTACAAAGCCCTGCATGTTTAACACCGCTCTGTGTGCCTCTGCTCTGTCTTTACAAAGACAGCTGGTGGATCAGTGGCTAATGTGGAACATCAACAGATGTCTGTTTTTATCCGTTTGAGCCATCCACACTCATTATATAAGTGGATCTCACTGCAGGTAACAGGCTGTCTGCGTTAGAGAGGACATGGAGCGCAGAGATCAAAGTTATGTGTGTGTGTGTGGGGGGGGGGGGGGGGGTGTCCAAGTGGACCAGCTGATCAAAAAAAATTGATTAAATGTTGGGTTTTCTTAAGTGCATCATGCAGTGACTGCAGCTATTTTTATACAAAGTTGGTTCATTTCAATTATCATCTTTTGTTTTTTCTTTTGCCTTAAGTTTTTTTAAATAAAGTCATATAAAATGCTTGTTTGACATGAGCTCCACACCAGTATGGGTTTGTAGCGATTCAAACCTGTTGATGTCACTGTCCATTAAATGTGCAACAATCCAGCCTGTATCTGTTTTAGTCTTGTGATGAATTCATAATTTTGTGGGGTTTTATGAATAAGTTAAATATAACATTAACAGTAAATCTGTCTATTTCCCCCCTGTGCTCGAATGAGTTGATCCACTGCATTGTGGAAAAGTATCAAGAATTATTTTTTGCTATAAAAGAAAAACAAAGCGTTTAAATATATAATTACTTCTCAGTCAATTTAATTAATTTAATTTAACTATAATGAAAATGTCCTTTGAACACTTTGTAAAAATATTTGTGGTGAGCAGGAGTATATATATATACATATCAGCTAATACAGGGCTATTCAACTGGCGGCCTGCTGGCCACTTTCAGACCACGGGTGACTTTAGTCCCACCCACCAATGAGTTCATTATTATTAATAATAATAATAATAATAATAATAATTAAAAAAATTGGGGGGGGTAAGGTTTGGGTTTGGTTTGGGTACTGTTTATTGCATTTATGGTTCAATGCAACAAAATAAACACATTTCAAAAGTAACAGATCATTGTAATACTTGGCTTATTTACATAATGACTTTAATTGCTGGATGTCCGGCCCCTGAGGTGTTGTCTTTCTGTAACTGTGGCCCTCCTGAGCAGTTTAGTTGAACAGCCCTGAGCTAATACATTATATATTATTGGACTATAATATTTCAGCTCTTGATGTAAACAGTCTTATTATTATTTTATAAAACAGAGACAAAGAGATGTTTATTATTTGAAGGTTACTGAAGCTGATATTTTCTGACTGAGATGAAAATTGATCCAAAGATGATAAACTCTCAAAGAAAAACTGATATTTAAAGCATTAAGCAGGGTTTAATATGACTCAGGAGCATCTCACCAGTCTTTTAGGTTTTTCTGGAGACTACAAATAAATATGTTGAGGATGAACAATCCATAGTATTTTGTGAAAAGCCAAACGCAAACAACAAACACAGGCACCTCCTCGACCAGCACCTTCAGCCTGGGAAGAAAAAAAAATACACACAAGTATTGTAAAGTTGAAGGTCTCTGTGCAAATGGATTATCAAACCAAAGTTATTAACTCTCTTAGACATATGTATTAATTTTACGAAACAATCAAATGAAATTTTTGAATATTCTTAAACTTTCAAAACTCACATGCTGATTAAACTCACTCCCCTCACAATGGAGGGTCATTAGGGTCTTTGTACACCTGGTTCCAAAGAGAGATGCTCCTTTAAATGAAGCATCATCAACTACAGAAGAGGTCTGTTTGTTTTGGTTTTTATGTCGTTGTTATTGTGTTGGTTTTGTTGTTGATGTTTATTTTTAGATGTGGTTTTTTTTCTAATTTCCATCTCCTCAAGTTATCTTGAATGTGCTGACATACATGTGCCAATCATCTCATTTGCTTTCATTTATGAACATGAAAAAAATGAATGGGTTGTTTTTATGTTGCATACAGTTTTATTCAACAACGAGCTTGTTTCTTTTAGGTTTTTTTTTTTATTCAGAAATTATTGAAAATGACAATGCTTTAACAATTTTCAGCCACTTTGTGATTTTTAACTGTTCTTCCTGTTGTATTTTACAATCAGAAAATGTATTATATTCGTTTTATTTCCTTATTGAACTAAAACAAAATAATCCTTTGCATTTTTGGGGGGTAACAGAATAAACCCAGAGTTCATACTGCTCACATGTCCGTGTTGCATTCAGTGTACATGTTACCTTTTCCTACTCTGCAGCAGAGTGTAAAAGGGCATGACGAGAGGCAGAAGCAGGATGGACAACATTCTCATCGTCAGTCCAATCATACCCAGATAGGTAGTCCCCCTGCACAAAAGAACTGAAACACATATAGTAAAATAGTTTAAGTTGCTTAGTGTTTCATTACATGAACAACTTGTGGAAAAAATAAGAAAAAATAAAAATTAGGAATATATGAATCCTTATATAAGCTGTTCAACTTAAACAAAACCTTGAAAATGTTCCATTTTCTTGGAAATTTTCCTTGTTTTTGGGTCTTAGACTAATTACAGCTGGACATACTAAAATATTTGACTTCTGTTTGTGTTCATAATTATCCCTGTTTATTCAAAGATAATAAGGTGTTACGCTGACAGTAAGCTCAGTGAAAACACAAAATCAAAAATATGTGTTTTTCATTACACTGGTAATGCCTTAACCTTTGTGTTTTACATGTCCTTTCTGACTTACTTAAGATCATCTTTTCAAGTGTTTGATCCAGTTCAAAATCATGTGTGATTATTTCTCTCAACATCCAGTGCTTTAGGTTCAGTGTGTTTCTGCAGATTAATATAAAGTTTTTTTTATAAAATAATGGAATTGATGTTCATGTCATGACAGCTAAGTAAATGAGTTTGTCACGTTTTTAAATCAATATTCAATTAATATCTTTAAGGTAACATTTTATTTGTTGTTGTAATTTTGTTACACCTTATCTAACTGGCCTAAAAAAATAAAGCAGCCAGACAGTATCTGATCAAATAGATAACACGGATGGCTGTAAAGCCACTTTGCTGGCCCCATGTCAGCAGGTTGTAGTACACGCTGAGGGTTGAACACAGGAAACAATTTAGGGAGGAGTGGAGTCATGCAGCTATTGCATTCCCTCAGTTCAGCAAGGTGGCCAAAAGTAGTTTTAACTGGTCCTTGAGATACAGCAGGCCAGCACCGGGCCAGAGTTGAGGTGTGAGCAAATTCCACATGTTTAGTTAGTGAAAGATCAAAGTTTCTGATTGACCACAAGAGGATCTTAAATCCTGGGCCAATCAGTCCAAAGCCATGTGCCATGTGTAGACACGCTGTCTTGTTGAATGTCCATAAAAGAATGCTGTCTCTGGAGAAGTAAGACATGCAAATGCAAGATGTTACCAACAGAAAATTGTGCCATCAGGGTCCCTCACCTCACCATCAGAGGTGACTTGAAGTCAAACTCTATGGGTTCCCACTCCATGATGCCAGGAGTAACACTTGTATCACTTTCCATTTATATGAGTGGATTGGTTCTCTCTCGTTGATGCTGCCACTTGCATACAAAGGTCCTTTGTGGAATCATAAAACTAAAATTATTTGCCAAACACAACATCATTTATTTGTGTCTCCCAAATACAACACCACTTCATAAGCAGCCATCCCTATTTCATTGCTATTGACAGCCTACTCATGGGGACATGTGTATTTCAGCTGATTCAATGAGCAAACACAAGACGACAAAAGATGCTGTAAAGTGTTCACTACCTGTGCATGGATGACAGGTGAAGATGTTATCCTTTCTGTAATACTTGATGTACAATATTACAATTCTGTCTTGATTTGGTCTTTGGCCACTAGAACCCTCACAGCATGTGCTGGTGACCTCACATACCCATGGGTTCTAACGTCAGGCCACTATGACAGCTGTCTACCCCTCCTTACATGGGTCTATCCCTACATGTTGGGCAGGTGAACAATACGACCACCCAGCTTCATCAAACCCACAACACAAACCATATCAAGTGTTGGTGATCTGGTCTAAAGCATCTTTAAACAACTCTCTGTTTCTGCTGACCTTTACTAATGGTCTACTCATTGTTGGATGTTCCAGCAACTGCCTGATAACACAATATGTGACAGTTCCTTGCAAACTGAATCATTATACAAATAAAACTTGGAGCATCTTGTTCAGTGTCAACTGCAAAAGCCTTCAGCTGCTGGCAAAGAGGTTATAAGAGTGTTTGTGTGAGAATCCTTACCATTCTTTACATCATCAAAACGGAGAAGAAGCTCTTTAGTGTTTTCTGGCACAGTGGAGTTAATTATCTGATTGGATCTGTAGTCTGGGAAAGAAGTAAGTGTTTTGGCCTGTTTTTTCACTGTCATTTCCCCTTCTTCCACTTTGATGGACTCCAGATATGTTTCTTCAAAAGTTAAGTCACAGATTGAAAATCCCAGAGACATGTCAATAGTCATAGAAGAAGTAAGATCTAAATTGAAAAAGAAAAACACAAATCAGAAATAAATATGTTTGGAAAATCTTGCTCATAACCATGATTCAGTGTTTTTTGTTCCTCGTTTGACCTACCTTTCTGCCAAAGAAAATGAATAGCATCTTTGTAGCCATTGTGGAACGCTTCTTCTAGATCCTAAAGTGAGAGGACAACGGTTTTAATTTGGACAAACATGTATCATTTACTAATCTTTTTGTTTCAGTTGTCACAATGGATCATCTGTCTCCACCTCACCCTAACCCTCTGTGTATCCTCCTTCACCACATCCACGAATGTTCTTTGTGATCTTTCTCTTTCCTCTTTCCTGTCAGCTTCAAATTATGATCTTGTGTGTTTGTTGAACCCAGTGGGCAGACAGATGCGAGGAACACGAAGGTAAAAATAAAGATTTTCAAATGTATTAAATAAGGAAAACAAAATGCTGACGTGGCAGCAAAACTATAAAGGGAACATGGAGACATGGAGGAAACAGAACATGAACACCATGACAGGACAATCCATTGACAGGTGAACACCAACGAGATGCAGAACTTATAGAGACGCTAATGAAGAAATAATTACAAACACCTGGGGGAGGACAATGGTGGACAGGTGCAGCAGGAGCTCGCAACATGAGGGACAAACACTGAGGAGGGCAGGACAGACAACGCAAAAAAAAAACACAATTCACACACAGATCCTCCCACTGTCAGGGACCTGTCATTCATAAGATGATTAACAACAATGCAGCAGTCAGTTTGAGCTGACACTATCTTATTCATAATGGGGTGGGGGATGATGCATCTGGTTTCTAAAGATGACAAAAAAAAACCAATAAAAATATATACTTTTTTTATTTAAAAAAAATTACAGTATTTTCTAAATATCAGTTAAGAAATGGAAACTGATCTCACATTCATCAACCCTTTAAAGGTTTAGATGCTTCCTCAGTGTTACTGTAAGTCTTTGAATGGGCTTGAATGTAATGGATGTGATCAGGGAGCAGATCTGATTCTGAACAAATTAACAGGCACTCATGATTCAACTAACAAAATCAAGTAAAGATGTAGTAGAAAGGTGCTGAAACCTACAGTAAATACAAATTTAACTGAGGAGGTTTTACTAAAAATGTAAAATGGCAGCTTTGTGCTCAAAATGCATTAGTCTGGCATAGTCAAGTGATAAACCAGATGGGAGCACCAGATCTAATTTGTGGACCCTTTAACAGACTGAATGTAAGAAGCTTCTGTTACAAAAAGACCATAGTTATGAAAAAGTTTTACAAACAGTGCAGCACAGTGAATATCTGACCTCCAAAGCCTCAGATGAAAGGGCAGTGATGGTCCTCACATAGTTAGCCATGTTGCTCTTGAAAATGGCTCCTGTAACTACCATTTTCATTGTGCATGGTGGATCAGCGGGACAGATGTCAGTGTCTCCAGAGAATGGGCACACAGTGAAAGTAGACGACTCAGGCATTCTGGGCATGATGCCACTCAAACCACCATCTATATAATGCTGTCAGATAGGATTACAAATGTGAATAAAGCAACTTAACACAGTGCCAGAAATAATTTATTTTAAAAAGTCCTGAAAATACTCACTACTCCTTTGAAGAGTGGAGGCAGAAAGCCACAATATCCAGGCAAAAAGCAGCTGCACAGCAGAGCCTAAGGCCAACAGACAACAACGACTCATCAGTTATCTTATTGAAAATTGTGCAGCAGAGAAGAAAAAAGTTTAGTGATGAAAACATTTAATGGGGTACATTACATGATCCTGAGGACTATATTGTCTGGGGCATCAGCTCCTGGAATGGTCTCTCATGACAAACTAGTGTCAGGGGAGAGGTCAGGCTAAGTGCAATTCTAAAATGACCAGACACAACCGGCAGCTTTGCTCAGAAAAGGTCAACCTTCTGAACACTCTCCTGGAGCCAGCCTAGGGTATGTTATTTATTTATTCATTCAACCTTTAGTTATACAGGTTAATCACATTGAACCTCGGGGACTCATTTACAAGATAGACCTGGAAGACCTGGAACGAAGACCTGGAAGACCTGGAAGGGATGGTGTGCCAGAGAGTGCTTGGTGGTCAAGCATTAGCTCCTGGGATTTGGCAAGGGCCAAGCCCAAAACCGAAAACACACTTCTCTAAACACACTTCTCCACCCACACAGACCAGTATTTGCAGTTTGACTCCCATCACCCTTTGGAGCACAAGTTAGGAGTCATCAGGACTCTGTATCACAGAGCAGACAGCATCCCCACTAACTCAGGAGCCAGGCAGAAGGAGAAATCCTACACAAAACAGGCTCTAGAGCAATGTGGATATCCTAACTGGGCCTTCCTGAAAGCAGAGAAGAAACCCAAACAGGACTCCAGTCAGCCATCAGGTGAAAAGGAGGAACCCAGACCCAGACCAGTGGTCATTCCGTATGTTGAGGGAGTATCAGAGAAACTGAGACGTTTATTTTCTAAACATAACGTCCCAGTGGCTTTTAAACCCCAAAATACATTACGGCAAAGACTGGTTCATCCCAAAGATCCAGTCCCCCGGCACAAACAGAGTAATGTTGTGTATGCTGTTCAGTGTCAGGAGGGCTGTGATCAGTCTTACATCGGGGAAACTAAACAGCCACTGGCCAAAAGGATGGCCCAGCACAGAAGATCAACATCATCAGGCCAGGATTCTGCGGTCTACACTCATCTCCAGGCCAGCGGTCACTCTTTCAGGGATGAAGATGTTCACATCCTGGACAGAGAGGAACGATGGTTTGAGAGAGGAGTAAAGGAGGCCATCTTTGTGAAAAGAAATCGTCCATCGTTAAACAGGGGTGGAGGCCTCCGGGTTCAACTGTCCCCCTCTTACAATGCTGTGATTGCTAGTATCACTCAGCCCTCTGTGAACAGTAAACAGCCATCAGTGTGCTAATGATCCATTGTTAGGCTGATGGTCCTTCTTGAGCATGTGATCAGCTGGTTTTGGTTGTCAGCAGCAAAACTGGTTGATCCACTCTGAGAAGGTGCTATTTAAGAGACTGAGCTGAAAACAGCACCTCAGACTGAGGAAGTCTCTTGGATGAGAGAAGAAACGTTTCTACATTTTTTTGTTGATTTGCTTTGTTTTATTTTTTTTTGAATGTCCAGAGGACCAGATTTAACTTTTTTAGACACTTCTCTATAGACCAAGATTCTTCCAAGAGGATGGTGGTTTACTGCAATCCTTACAGGTTTACATAGAACAGTTCCTTTCTTTTGAGTAAACGTTCAGGACTGAAAATTTGACTTGACAAAAAGCATATCAATTTATCCAGAAGTAGTCAAAGTTATTTAACTAAGCTAAAAAAAAAGTTTCCACAAAACGAAAGTACACAAAAGTATTTTGTCATTACAACGTTAAGCAGTGATGTACTGGCAGAAAATGTACTGCACATGTATATGTATATACTGTATATGCAGTACTTAGTAACACCTGATATTTCTTTGGAAAATCTGTTTTGTGGTAATTTTTCCTCACTTCTAGAAGTATAAACTTACTTGTACAACATCTTCTTTGGACTGAAACTCGGATATAATTACTTGCTTTCCATCAGACAGACGTGTCACAGCAACACCAAGGCGACCGTTTGCCAACCGGTGGGCATCAGAAGGAAGATGTTTGTGCATAGTTTTCTCTAGCCACTGGAAAACATTGACCGATGGGTTAAATATCCCCCACGTAAAAGCCTTTGCTTGCTTGGCAAACAGAAGTATCTCATCCCGTATGGTTACTGCAATGCAATAGAACATAGTTTAAAATAACTTTTTGTATCGAGTCAAAATAAATTAGAAGTAAAATATATGGTTGCTTACTTGGATTTACTTCACAGACCACAGCAGCTGCAGCCACAGATCCAGCAGAAGCACCAAGTATGTGTGGAGCTGACTTCAGAATCCAGGGTGTGTATCTCAGGAAGCCCAAGGCAACCCCCAACTGGTAGATGGACAGAAACCCAGATCCAGAGAAGGTGATGTTGTAGGACATTTTACAGGAATGAGACCTGGAGACACTGGGAGACATTTTTCCCATATGTTTCAATAAAAGTAATAACGCTATAATAAAGACTGGTTCCTCCAAGTTAAGTCAAGCAGCAATGAACTGAAAAATGTCCAGTAGTTTTAAATATATCACAATTAGCCATGTCCTATTTGTCATGCCCATGTGATGTAATGATCTCAAGGGCTTGTTTGTCCCTGTCAAAAAGTATTTTCTGTCCGTTTGCTAAGTAGTTACATAGAAAGTACGGGAGTAATGAATTCCAAAAATCCCTTTTTTATGAACATGTTTTAGAACACATTTTGTGGATTATTTGCATTTAAAGACAGTCAGTGATATTTGGCATCTATGATCAGTCAGCACACGAGCCGCGCTACGGCAGAGTCCCCTGCAGATGTAAGGACGTACTGAGAATCTGAGAATTGCAGCTTCTGTTGGGATTGTTAATCTGATTAACACAAGGCTCACAGTAGTGGTTGTATTGCAGTATGTTAGACTTGAAACGCAGTCACATTTTACTGCCTTGTTCTTTTTGTCCTGTGTTCATGTTAGTAAATAGTAAAATTAAATAACTTTTTGTACCTAAATTAAATTTAGGAACAAATATAATGTTTGCTTTGAACTCTTCTCAATTATTTTGACCCTGTGTGTCACGTTCTGGGCAAAGCATGTTCATTTTATTGTGATTAAAATGGCAAAGAAGACGGCGGCATCACTTTTCACATTGACTCAGAAGAGTTTGGGCTCTTGTACTGAAAACTGTAGAGAATGCGATGGATATGTTTTATGCAGATACCACTGTGTAAATGTTAAATGTAGAAGCCAGCAGGTTTGCTGATGTAAAGATGATTGCAGCCATGATTAATTCAGTGGTTGCCTAAATTACTTGCTGATAGTTAAAATGCACCTTTTCCAAAGCTTCAACTTCACTACCTAAATGCATTACTCTCTGATTGCACTGGAAAGTAAGTTTAAATGCTAAGATGTTAAATATTGTGAAATATCATTGCCATAAATAACATGGTATGTAAACAGACAATTTTGCTGCATGATTAATGAGAGATTACTTGTGCATTTATTTAAGAAAATTAAGTTCACAATGTAAAAAATAAATATCTGTTACATATAATGACAGAAAAAACCATGTGATGGATATTTAAAATAAATAATAATAATCTATCCAGTTTAGTTATTTCCCCCCCTTTATTTGCCGAGAGGTGGGGGACACCCTGAACAGGTCTCCAGTCCATCACTGGCACACAGACAATCAATCATTCACTTTCTCAATCACACCTAGTGACAATTTAGAGTTACCAATCAGTCTAACATACATGTTTTTGGTCTGTGGGAGGAAACCGGAGTACCCGGAGAAAACCCATGTTTGCTAAAGGAGAACTTAAAACTAGAAATATTTGTATGAATTTTGTGAACTGCAGTCAAATGTCCCTGCCTCATCCTTTTTGTCCTGTTTTTAGGATCTGTAGCTTTTTTTTTATCATCACACCCACCCTGATTAGTGCAATTCTAATTTGAAACCAAGCCAAAATTCAACTTTTCAAAGCCAAAATTCAACTTTTCAAATGTTAATGAAAATGTAAAACTGTTCTTAGTCTGAACACTGAGCTTGATGTTTTACGAGCAAAAACTAAGAAAGAGTTCCTATTTCACATTTTAAAATGACAGCTTTGTACAGAAAGTCAGGGAAAATCCATTAGTCAGGCAAAGTCAAGTGATAAACCAGATGAGTGTAACAGATCTAATGTGCAGACTGAATGTAAGAAGCTTCTGCTACAAAACAGTAAGACTTTATGAACTGCTTTGCATACTGCATGACAAAGTCATGCAAAGCCACAGGGTTAAAGGCAGAGATCATCCTCCAGAACTCTCCATGACTTTCACACAGGTTATGTAGAGCGCAGCAGGTCAGCACCATGGACTTCACAAGTTCAACATCACAGTCATTCCTTTTAAGAAGGCAACGCCATCTTCCCTTCAGCCTACCAAAAGCATTTTCCACAACAACCCGTGTACTGCTAAATTTTTGGTTGTACATCTGCTGTTCTGCTGTTAGTCTTCCATTGTCAGAAAATGGTTTTAACAGCCAGTCCTGCAATGGATAAGCTGAGTCACCCAGGATGTAGTAGCCAGTAGTCGCTGTGCCAATGGTCCTGAAATGAGCTGGGAATAGGTTTCCTCTCATGGCTTACTCCCACAGCGTGGACAGTCTCAGAACCCTGGCATCATGCAGGCTCCTCGGCAATCCAGCAAACACATTCCAGAACTGTCCCCTTCCATCCACAACAGCTTGCAGGATAATGGAATGCCAACCTTTTCGATTAAAATAATCAGTGTGATAGTGCTGCTGTGGTGCTATGATGGGAATATGACTGTCATCAATAGCACCCACACAGTGTGGGAGCCCCCACCGGTTCTCAATGTAAAGGGCCATTTCTCTGAACTTCTCTTCATCAGGAAAACGGATCTGTTCTGGCACCAACAATGTCTCTGCTGCAGCACAAAACCCCTGCACACATCTACACACGGTAGTGATGCTGATGCCAAAAAGATGTCCGACACTCCTGTACTCGGATCCAGTTGCCAGCTTCCACAGTGCAATTGCCACCCTCTTCTTTAATGACACACATTGGCGGAAAGTTGAATGTTGTCGCTCCAGAGCCGGTCGTAGTTTATTGCACAGGTAGATGAATGATTGTTCTGACATCCTGAAGTTCCTCAACCACTGACTCTTTGTGAAACCAGGTACAATAACGTCCCACCACTGAGTAGCTCTGTTATGCGCCCACACTGTAGGTCTGCTGCGATTATTATTATTTAGCAGGCGAATCATCTGAAACACATACACGGCATATGTATTATTAAACAGTTTTTTTATCAACATTTATGTACTTTTACACTCGGCTTTTATAATATGTTATTGCATGCAATAGCAAAATAGCATTTTAGCTTACCCGCACACGTCGTTTAGCTCGCCTCCTGTCTTCTTTTTTGTAACTAGGGCTTCCTACACTCTCCTGTACTTCTCCAGAGTTCTTTGCCTTGCTTCCTGAAGCCATTTCTGACTATCTTGTCTTCGACGGCGTTCAAAAAGCCACAGACTGAGAAGTAAGTTGAACAAAGCCACGACACCCTCCATTTTGTTTTATGGTCGTCTTCTTCTAACACTTAAGTGGTGGCTAGTACAATAGCTTAATGGCGCACTACCGCCACCATCTGGTAACGCATGTTGGATTCTGGACCCCGCCCACTGGAACCGGTACTGAAAGCATAATGGAAACACAACCTGTACGGTACCGAGTAGAGTAGAGCCGTGCTGTACCGGCCCGTACCGGTACTAATGGAAAAGGGTCATGTTGATCTTCATAGTGACTCCTGTAATTACTGATTCAGTCATGCAAGGTGGGTCAGATGTTAGTTTTTCCAGAGTATGCACACACAGACATCGTAAATGACTCAGGCATTCTGGACAGGATGCCTCTTAAACTGCCATCTATTATTGTTTATACAGTAATGTTGTCAGATAGGATTACAAACGTGACTAAAGTAACTTAACAGAGTGCTAGAAAGAATTCAGAAAAAATCTAACAACCTTAAAAATACTCACTACACCCTGGAAGAGTGGAAGCAGAAAGCCACAATATCCAAGCAAAAAGCAGCTGCACAGCAGAGCTTAAAGACAACAGACAATGACTAAAAGAAGCAAAGTGTGAAACTTGTACAACCTCTTAAAAAAAAACTTGAAATGGACTAGCTTTAACTTTATTATCACACGTAAAAACAAACTTTGATAAAATGTAAGAACAGAAGAGTACACAAGTTAAAATCTAAGCTCACAGGACAAGATGAGTCATCATATATCATTTTGGAATAAGACTGTGCACTGAAAACATTACAAGAGAATATGACAAATTATTAAAATGATTGATATTAACTTGATAAAGGAAACTGGAAATTGTTCGGAGTGGCAAACTTACAGTGAAATATCAGAACGGTGTGCATTGCACAATATTTAGTATTACTGATTGAAACTAATGATTATTAAATAATTATCCAGAATGGATAAACATGTTGTCTACATTGATGAACTGATAAATTACTTTGGACTCAGATATGATTACTTAATTTGCATCAGAAAGGCAGATGACAGCAACACCGAGGCGACTGTTCACCAAATGGTGAGCATCAGAAGGAAGATGTTTGTGCAAAGTTTCCTCTACCACTGGAAAATATTGAACAATATGTATACTGTTCCCCAATTAGAAGCCTTTAGCTGTTCAGTAAGCTGAAGCAAATGGCAACAGCTACATTTTACATGCAGTCAAAGTAAATTCTGAGTAAAAAATGTGATCACTTACTCAGGTTTACTTCACAGGCCACAATAGCTGCTGTCAGAGACACAGCAGATAGCTCCAAGGATGAGGGGCGCTGACTTCAATGCCCAGGGTGTGTACCTCAGGAAGCCCAAGGCAACCCCCAACTGGTAGGAATCCAGAGCCAGGGAAGGTGCTGTTGTAGGGAATTTTACTGGAGTGAGAAATGAAGAGACTGGAAGACACATCGGATTATCTAATCTGTTAATTGTTTTTCATTCCAAAGGCATTAGTGCTTTAGTAAGGATTCAAGTTTTGCACATCAAGTTCAGAAACAGCTGTGAACTGAAGGACACCCAGTGATTATCAAGTAGTCACAATTAGACGTATCTTGTCATGCTCATGTGATAATGATAGTCTCAATAGGCATTTCTATCTTTATCATAATGCACTTTTTCCCTTAAGTTGATGATGGTTTTTTTTATTTTTTACTTTGTTTAACCATTTACTATACAAAACAAAAAGTACCAAATCTTACAAAAGAAAGTTACAAAAAAATGATTAAAAACATATTGGAAATAAGAACAAACAAGAGATAGAGAGGAAAAAAGGGACCTTATATGAAGAAATTGAAATTAACCAAGAAACTAAGAAATTTGCCAGCATTTTTTTTTTCATTTACATATTTTAAAGATTTTGCATAAGACTTTAGCTCATTCTTCCATATTAGGTTTATACTTGGAAAAAAAAAACCATTTATGAGCATAATGTTTAACTAATATAATCAGATTAGTGATAGCATATTTATTATTTCCAATCTTATTAATTAACACAAATTGGATTTCTTTTGAAGTGAAAGTATAGTTGAATCCCTCTGGATTGGATCCACATCTTAAAATCAAGCCAAAATTTCTGAAACTATCATGCAATCAATGAAAAGATGTTCCAGGTTCTCACTCTCTGTCTCACAAAAACCACAATTCCCAGTGTCCATTTTAAATTTTGTCCTTAGAAATTCCTTAGTAGGATAAATTTTATTTAAGATTTTAAATTGAATTTCTTTGGCTTTAGGAAAGACGGGAAATTATATAAAAAGTTAAGTTTATGATGTAGATAGACAGAAAGCATAATATGTGCTGTTTTTTATGTTTACCCAATTTCTTGTGTATGATTGAGTTTGCAGACATAACTGGTGAGATGTGACAGAAAAAAAGTCAATGAGCAATCAGCAGATGTGTCACTGTGCTACCACAGCAACCCCTGCAGGTGTAGCTTTAGCACCGTTTGAAGAAGTACTGGTCTGTGCTGCAGGTTGGCTTATGAGACGCACAGTAGTGATTGTGTAACAGGATTATTTTTTTGTGTTGAGTTAAATGTCTTTAAAAGTAAAGATGTTCAGTAAAACCACAGATCAGACTTATTTAAAATGTTTTGTGTTTTATATACACGTGGAAACCACGTTTGGATGTGACTTTTTAGTGCAACTATTGCTCACACTTTTATGGTATAAAAAAAGATTTATTTTTAAAAGCAAAACAAACTTTTCATATAATTTTCATAAAACGCCACACCCTCATACAGTCAAAACTAGACAGACACAAATTAAATAATTTTGCATGCGTGTGCAATCATCCTCTTTATAACAACCTGCAACAAAAGCCCAATTGCATTCACCACTTACCTGCAAGATTTGTATAGATGCACATAAACCCCCAAAATGCACTGCAGCCAAGCTGATCAATGCAAAACTGACGATATGATTGTTTTGATAAATAATGATGTCGCTTCTTTCACAGATTTCCATTTAACTCGCGTTTAGTGTTTATTCACACAAATAGCACAAAAATCAATCTACTGGAAAACGTTATTTTCTTACAGCTGTTGGCAAATTTTGTCCAACCTGTGCAGACATGTTTTCACGCTGAATCTGTTCTAGGAACACGTGCATATTTATTCTGTTAGGATTGTTGATGTTGTTTTTGTCCATGTGTTTTTATCCCACTGCAGCCCCCGTCGGAGGGGGCAGTGGAGAAGCCCGATCAGGGGAAACCTCAAACAGGTCTTCATTGAAATCATGTGTAGGACTGCTGTCTGGAAAGTCCTCATCCTGAGGCGGCGTATGTTCTGGAGACTCTGTGTCAAGTCGATGCTTCTTGATTTCCAGTGGGAGCTTCAGAAACCTGAGGGCAGTCAGAGGGAACACCGTAAATAACATGTTCTCCTTTGCGACAAGACGAAAGAGTGCTTGACAAAAAGAAAGGAGCAGAAACCTGAAGAGAAGTTTTTGGCCTCGCTCCTTTCTGATGATGTTCAGCTTGTAGTAGTGCCGCAAAGCACGCGACATTTTCTCATAGGTCATGTTTTCTCGGTTCTGTCAATAAGGCGAGAATCTCATTAAGGTTCTGCGTTGCACAGTTCTGTGCGCCTAACTTCAATACATTTCTCCCAACATATGCAGTTATTTTTGCCTTTCATACTTGGCTCAGATTCCAACAATGATTCACCTTGTGGTTCCCCCAGAGGCGTGCCAGTCCGTTGGGGTCAACTACCCGGAACACGTGGCTGTCCGAGTCTTCCCACCGTATGTAGTCTTGGTAGCGCTCATCACACAGCAGCTGGTACACATAGTCCCACAGCAGTCTGCACTCTGGTCATGAATAAAAATTAAAATGAACCTTGCTATTAATACATTTTTGTCTGTGTGCAAACGAGAAAAAACTTTCAGTCTACAAGACATCAATACATGTAAATGCAAACACTGTGAAAGAGGCCAAAATCATGCCAATGTTCATATTTGTACACCAAAAAAAAAAAAAGCTAAAACATAAACTAGTAGTTCTATAATATGCAAGAGTCTAAGTATGTGATATATTTTGTATATCTGGAGTCTCATGCCAGTGAGAACAGTAAAGTTTTTCAGCATAAAGTTTGCTGAGGACTCTGTTGTCCTGTCCCTTCTCAGCAGTGATGACCCAGACCCTGGGGCCTGTGGTCGGGGACTTCACTGAATGGTGTGAGTGTAACTTTTTAAAGTTTAATGTTTCTAAGACAAAGGAGATGGTCATTGCTTTTAGAAAAGACTCTTCAGTTCATGTGGTCATTAACGGTGAAGCTGTTGAGGTGGTGCAACAATATAAATATCTGGGAACTGTTCTTGATGACAAACTGACCTTCGATGCTCACTTTGTAAGAAGGCCCACCAGAGAATGCATTTTTATCAGAAGCTCTGCGGTTTTAATGTTGATTCTACTTTTATAAGAACGTTTTGTTGAGTCTCTTTTAACTTTATTTCATCTGTTGGATTGGATTTTTGACATGTACAAACAGGAACAAACTCTCAGGGATTGTCAGGATGTGCAGCAGAACTGCTGGTATAGATCTACAGAACCTCACTGGCCTACACAAGGTGAGGTCAGTGAACAAGGCCAGGCTGATTCTGTCAGATCATGATCATCCACTCCATGGTGAGTTTAGGTTGCTTCCATCTGGACGCAGGTATCTGTAGCCCAGATGTAGATGTAGACTGTTATATTCAAACGTTACCTGGTATGCGGCCGTTGGCTTTGTGCAGCAGACTCCTCGGCTTCTCTCGACTGGACAGGTTCAGAGGTTCCTGAATGACACTCTCTTTGGGGTGAGGGCATTGAACGGGGTTACAAGGCGACGTTATGTCAGCTGCTGAACCATCTAAGAATAAAGACAAATGAGTGATAGAGAAGTAGCATTTGCATTAATTAGAAATCCAGCTACGATGCTTTTTAGCAGTCTTTGTACTATTGCTGTTTATTTTATACCCACTATTATGAGCGAGTGGGGCAGAGTAATGGTAAAAAATGGTGCGATCCCTGGGAGAAGACAAGGGCCCAGGCTGGCTGCTCGCAGTGGTTACAACAGCTGCAGGCTGCACTGGGGTGTTGGAGGCGACAGGAACTGCAGGAGAGAAATATGAGGAAACGTGAAGTGCTGAACAGAAAGCAAAAGCAATTTAATAACAGCTCATATGTTTTAGATTAACAGGTTTATAAAAGAGTTATGTAATCGTTAACACAGAGGGCATTTTAGTTTACTTCTAGCATCTAAAGCACTGAAAAAAAAAAGATGACATATTAGGTTTATCGAAATCCATTTAACCAGATCAAATTAGTAAGTTTTACTTCCTAGAGTGGAAAGCACCACTTTATGGTTGTGTTAAATCAGGATAGTGTTGAGTTGCATCAAATTTAAGAGCAGTTTTATGACGCTGGCGTTTTACTTACTGCAGCTTCACAAGGAAATGCTCTACTTTTTGTTACAACACATTTAAATGATAGATTCAGTTTTGACTTTTAACAAAGCAGAGCATTCTGAATAGATAGATCATCAACATATTACGTAATGAAATTTCACAACACTTGCACCAACCCATTATGTTTGCAGAGAAGAAGTAAAGGCAAAAGAAAACAGGCAGTGATGTTTGACCGTGTGACGGTCAGGGGTGGGGAAATTACATTTTTTAATGCTGCAAGAAAAAATATAACTTGACCTCAGTGTGTTCACACACGTTTATGTGACAGTACTTGCAGGTAAATTTTAAACTAGAAGAAACAGTCCAGATTTGATCAGCAACAACACTAAAAAACAACAGCTGTCTGTATAATACAGAGTGTGTATTGTTTATTTGTGTTTTGTTGCACTGATATTCTCTCTGTTGCACAACTCCCTGCGTACAACACATGATAATCCATTTGTGCTTTGTTGAAAATAATAGTTATTTTATTATAATTGTTAATAATTTATCAATACTTATTTTTAAATCACTGTCATTCTAAAAAAATAAAACCAAGTACTTTAACTTGAAAGCTATTGTTTGTCTACAATAACACACATTTTCCACTTTTACTAAATAAAAGTTTTGTTCTAAGAAAGACAAGAATTTGGCAAAGTCCTCTTAAAACAATTAGTAACAACAGACATGATGCACTTCTAAACTGAAAGAAGTGATGAAGTCATAAATGTACTGACCGGGGGTGTCACTGACTGTCAAAGGCCGTGGGTCTTTGGACGTAAAAGAAGACTTTTGGCAGCTGGTTGGATCCTGAATGTGTCTGACTGTCACAGGAGGAGAAACACTCAGGGGCTCACAGACAACACTCCTTCTTTGTTGCTTCACACACTGAAGGATCTCATAGAGAACATCACCTGTAGGAAAGTCAAGGTCAAGGGCAGAGAGAAAGGCAATGAGGAGAACTGTATATCTGTGTGTGTGTTATTTTCTTAATTTATGACATTCTACCCGAGCTGGGACAGCGACGTCTAAAGTCTTCTTTGGTGAGCAGACACAGGGCTCTACCGTTCATCTCAAAACGGCCGTTTTCTGGCCGGCGCAGTGAGTACTCCTTCTGAGCCCAGTGGAGCCAGTGGGCAACATCCTCCTTATTCCATAAAGATGGGTTTATTCCTAGAAAGCATACAGCTTTAAAGCATGGTAAAGCATCCATCAAATCAGTCTTCTTCATTCAGCTTTTCCCTCTTCAGGGGTGGCCACAGTGAGTCATCCTCCTCCATCTCATTCTGTCCTCTGCATCCTCTGTCCTTCTACCAATATGTCTTATGTTACGATGCGTAAATATTAAAACAACATTTAAATCTGTGCTCACTTAATCGTCCAGGTAGATGCCACAGGTCTTCCTGAGTGGGAGGACTGACCAGAGGAGCTTGGCTGTGGGGAGAGTGATGCTCAGTTGCAGGCAGGTTGACCTGACTCCTCTGCATAAAGACTGGAGGACTGTCAGCTCTGGCTTCATGCTATAAAAATCCACACAAATACATCCAAACTTGATGTATCAGATATAAAACAGCCATGCCTATCAAAAACAAGAAACTGACTTTTGCCCCAAAAAATTTAAACCCATAAGACTATAAATATAACGAAGCAGCATTTTAAAAGGATAAACACATTGGTCCCGGGAGTTCAACGTACCTTGATCAAGAGGGACGAGGAAATGCTCGCCATGGAAATCTCCCTTTTCTGTTCGACAGTTTATAAATAAAACAGAAGGATGTCACATGCAGACCAAAAACTAACGCAGTAAATGAGTTACACCTTTCCCAGGAAAGAAAAGAGCAACAACCTCGAAGATACACCAAAAAAATAATCTGCACTATTTTCACATTCGAGTCTTCCGGGAAATGAAAACGAAAGAAACATAATCCTCGCTGGGGGAGGGGGGGGGTGCACCTTTCCAAACACAGAGTGCGTTTGATGAGACTGAAATAGTATAATTATAAATAGAAGCGCTGGATAAAATCACTTACTTTGAATTAAAAAAAAAACAAGAGAGTTAATCAGTAAGTGTATTTCTGGCACTTTTGTTTTTGAACAACATGAAAAGTTGGGATAACAAGTTGTAGAAACGCGCGTCAAAACTCCGGGAAGTCTGATGACAACACGAGAGTCCGACCGTCACCTCCTCCGTGTTGCCAGTTGAGAAATGTGCGTATGAGAAATATAAGGCAAATTAAATTGAAGCACTTTAAGTTGTTTCTGTTACAGACAAAAAAAAAAACAATGTTAATAAAGTTATTCTTCCTTGTAAGTTGATCTATATTCTTTTCTTTAATGTTAATAAGGACACAATGTTAGGCAGCGGTGTACTTATAACAATTTTATAGACACTATTTACAGTCGCGGCGGAGAGTTGGGGGGGGGGGGGGGTATAGAGGAAAATAACTGAGAAGCATTAAACTTTAGTGATTTTAACCTAAATATTTAAGGAGTAAACATTTTTAATAATCACGGTAAAAGTTACAATGTTGCCTTTGGTGCTTGTTTGTTTTTCAAATATATCAGTGTGTGTGAATGACAGGGATTGACTTAAAACAATTTGTAGAACAGTGTTTTATAAAGTTCAGTGCATTTTCTTGTATTAGTTGACCGGGCAGGTCTGCCACATCCAATACGGCGGACGCTCTGACGTACCGCTGGGGCCAGCCCTGGCACATTTTGTTATCCACATATCCTGCAAAAGTTTTCTTTTCCAGGAAAAATTGCAGGTGACGAAGATAGAAAGACTGAAAATCTGTCCATTTTGTGGTCTGCAACGTCTGAAACCCTCCTGGAAGTAGGTCATTTAGCGCATGCGCAAATGAGCTGCCAGTCTATTTGCGCATGCGTAAATGAGCTGACCGCACGGAGCGTTCTTCCGGAACCCGCTCAAGATGGGTTTGGGAAGATTTTTTTATTTTTTTTATTTAAGTACAAAAAAAACTATAAGACAAATACAAAAAAAACCTAACTACAATGGCACACATAGCTCGAGACTTAAGGCAGGCATAACAAAAAAGAAAAATATAAGTAAATAATAACATGAAATTATGTTTTGGACAGTTTACAATATAAATTTGTTACAGAGTGGTTTAGTTTTTATGGCTTTTGCATTGGTACAATACTTTAAAGTAGACATATACGAAGAAAGATAAGTAGAAAAAAACTATAAATCGAGGTTTTAGCATGGCAAATTTACAGCTGTGGATGTGAAATTTGGCTAATATTACCCACTAAACATTAGACGTCTAATGGACGTCCAGATTACGTCTATATTGGGTCCGTTGGTCGAAGACGTCCCCCCGACGTGCAAACAAGGTCCACTTTTGGACGTCTAACCATGACCGCATTTGTACGTCAATAAAACGTCAGACTTGGAGGTCATATAGACATCATTTTTTTAACATGCATTTCCTCTATTCTTTTTTTTTATATATAAATTTTAGTAGTTACCTTATTATTTATTTGAAGAATATCGTTATTATTGTTATTATTATGGTTATTATTTTTCAATTTTATTCCGCGTTGAATTACGGAAGTAACACATAAATTTTCAGTAGGTGGCGGTACTTGTGAAGTTGTTTGCTTTCTGCCATAAAAAACACGAAGAAGAATTGTATTTGCTGGCTTCGGAACCCGAGCGTTATGATTGGATTGGCGGAGTAGCACGTGATCATGTTCCAACCAGTCAACGCCACTCTTGCTGAACCGCGCTTCGTTCATAACAGTTAATATATTATTTTCATTTCTGTCGGTGCTCAGCTTGTGGTCATTTTTATCGGAGCTCATCTGTGTTCAGTTCATTTGTCACGGAATTCAACTGCCTGCACTAAACTTGCTGCGATCCACTCAGAAGTTGAAGGTAATTGGTTATGTTTTGTCTGTTTTATGTTTTAGCTTTGTTCTCTTATCTGCTGTGGCTTGCTAGATAGTTTAGCTAACAGCTAAATAAACAGCATAAATAAACAGCAGACGATTTAAGGCAAGTAGAACACTACAGGTTAGAAAATAAGTTATTCTAGTCTTTAAATAAGCCGCATATGCTACGAGGTTTTAGGTTTTTTTTTTTAGTTTTTTTTTTTTTCTTTTGGAGGAGTCATGGCCTAGTCCACCCTTGCGTCTCCGTTAACACGCATGCGCTGACCAGCCAACAGCAATGGCCGTGTTGTATTTCGGAAGCATTCCTTTTTTGTGGATTTTACACCAACATTGCTGGAGAACTGCATTCGCTACAGTGCTTAATTCCTTAGTGTATTACAACGCAAGCAAGCAATTCAATTGAATGATTAAATATGAAAAAAGCATGGTATGTCTCCTTTTAAGATATCTTTAATTATATTTTGACATGGCAAAATACTTATTTGGGATATACTCAACTACATTCTGACTAATATAAATATATCTGTGAACATGTCACTCCAGAGGTTTAGTTGTGTTTATAAACTTTTTTTTTTTCCCCTATGTGGTGTCTTTTGAATCTGGACTTGGAATAAGGAGTTAAACTACCTCAGTAAGGTATGTTTTGTGGCCCCATTCTCCTCCCCTTTGCATTGGATATGTAAAATAAACAAAAACTAGATTAACTCGTACTCAAATCTGTTTACAGATGGCTTTAAGAATGAGAGCATGGCGAAAACACAAAAGAGACCTCGATCTACTTCTACGTTATTCTGACAGTGAAGATGAGCTACAAGGCATTGAAAATAATTGCAGCAGTGTGCCTGTGACCCCACATAGCTTTAACAGTGACCGTGTTGAGACTTCAGATACCGGTAGTTTAGACTTTGATGCTGGTATGGACTATTGGTCATCCTCCTCCTCGGAGGAGGAGTCAAATGATGGTGCTGAGGTGACCAGCAGCTTTGAAGATGGCCTGAGACAATGGGCCTTAGAACACACATTGACACACAGAGCACTTAATGGTTTATTGGCCATATTAAGAAAGCAAGGACACATATTGCCTGTGGATTGCCGTACACTACTTGCTACACCACAATGTGACACCACGGAGCCTAAATGTGGTGGGCAGTACATGTACTATGGCCTAGAGAAGGGGATCTGTCGTTAATTAAGCCAGATAAAGAGCAACGATGTGCAGATTACTGTAAACATTGATGGTGTCCCACTTTTCAAACGTAGTGGTGTCCAATTCTGGCCAATACTAGTGAGGTGTGGTAATTGGGATCCATTTGTTGTTGCTATGTTCAGTGGACAAAGTAAGCCAAGTCCACTTCAGGAATATCTGAAAGATTTAGTGACTGAGTACAAACATCTCAAAGCCAATGGTATCGTTTATAAAGGCCAGACTTGCACTGTAAATATTAATGCTCTGATCTGTGACGCGCCAGCAAGGGCGTATCTGAAATGTATGCTTCCTATGAGAGCTGTGAAAGATGTTTAATAAGAGGTACTCGTGTTGAGGGGAGAATGGTTTTCAGTGAGAAGGAATGCGCTTCTAGAACAGATGACAGTTTTTCCAGAGTGGAGTACAGGAACCACCAAACTGATGTCAGCCCCTTCATTGATGCAGGAATTCCTTGTGTTAGCACATTTGTATTGGATTATATGCATATGGTCTGCTTGGGAGTAGTTAGACGCCTCTTATTGTGTACTTGACTCGTGGCCCAAAAATATGTCGCTTATCTGTGAGACAAAAGGATGACATTTCTAAAAACCATCTCACTCAGAGGGAAGATGCCAAGTGAGTTTTCACAGCAGCCACGGGGCTTGCATGAAATGGATAGGTGGAAAGCCACTGAACTACAGCAGTTTTTGTTGTACACTGGGCCTGTGATTTTAAAACCTGTGTTATTCCCTGTGAGATACAAACATTTCTTGTCCCTGACAGTAGCCATGTCAATAATGCTGGAGTCAGATGAGAGAATTCGAAAGGCCTATCTCCAATATGCTGAAGAACTAATCAAACATTTTGTCATGCTCTGTCCTGACCTGTATGGTAAAACCTCTCCTGTATACAATGTACATGGACTATCCCATCTCCATGACGATGTCAGTCACTTCAACTGTTCCCTGAATGATATTTCCTGTTTTCCGTTTCAATCCCCGGTTGGACCTGGGGTCTTTCTGTGTGGAGTTTGCATGTTCTTCTGGTGCTTGCGTGGGTTTTCTCCGGGTACTCCGGTTTCCTCCCACAGATCAAAAACATGCATGTTAGGCTGGCTTCAGGCCCAGGCCTCCCTTGAAAATGATCTGTGATCTCGATGAGATTTACCTGGTTAAATAAACGTTAATAAATGATAAATAAGTGTGTGTTAGTAAAGCAAGTGGACATTGTACAGAGACAAGTGTGAAGTGATTGGCAAAAAAATTCAAAGCCAACTATGAATATTTGCAGGGATGTTTTTTTTTTAATTAATCCAGTATTAGGGGAGGCCCCAGCAAGACATTGTGCATTTTCCAGATTGCCTTTGCATATTACTAATTACTCATTTGTTTTTTTTTTGTGTGTTTGTGTTTTTTTTTTTTTGTTTTTTTTGCAAATGCAGATGGAATCATGAATGGGGATGCTGCAGCAACAGAAGGTTTTATAAGGACTCATGCTGCAGAGCATTTAAAACATGCACCACAAAGAAGTGGAGGTGGAGGAAACGGGCTCACACAGAACATTTAAAATGTGCCACAAAGAAGTGGAGGAAGCGGGCTCACACAGAACATTTAAAATGTGCCAC